CGGCATCAGCAACCCTCCTATCAGCTGCAGTATGCATGCCCGTGCATACTGTTTAACTTCATCGTAAGACGCATCCTCGCTCAACTCCCGAAAATTGGCATCTAACCAATTTAACGGTATTCGTCCACCGTTTAAATTTTTCGATACACGTTCTAGACTAACCTGACACAAAGTAGTCCAAAAATTGGAAGTTATCCCTGATATCACACCTCCATCTACCGGAAGCCCCAGGTGCATAGAAACATCATCAAGCGTGATCGTGCACTCTCCGCACGGAAGATGAAATGTGTGAGTCTCCGGTCTCCACCGCTCTACTAAGGCAGAAATAAGGTATGGTTGTATCTTACAGTGACTCTGATATCTACTTAGGTGATCGAATCCATCATCTTCTAAATACGACATTACACGAGTAGGTATAACTAACTTAATGTTTCTAATAAAATGATCTAATATACGGTCTCTCTCCTAAAATATAAATAATTACACAAATTAATTTTTAAACTAATAATCATGCATTAAATAAATAAATTAAAACGTTAAAATGTTATCGTATCAGCAAAGTGTCGAGATATATGATTTCCACCCAACCAAAGTAGACCGCCTTCCATTTTATATCTGAAAAAAATTAATTAAATAAAATATTAAACAATTAAAATAATTAAATAAATTACTAAAAAATATTAAATATAATAAAATATACCTTAATAAGATAATATAAGAGTATTTGAGAGAAGTTGAGAGGATTTGATGTGATGAAAATGATTGAGAATGGGGAATTTATAGGGAGGGATGGTGGGTGTGAACGGGCGGGGGTAATTTAGTAATTAAGGGTATAGCGCGGGCAAGGGGTAAGTACAAATATGAAATCTCTAAAATTTACAAATATCCTTTTTAATCACACTTTAAAAAAATCAAATCACTAAACACAAAAATTGAAAATTTGTCTCTTTTCAAATAGTTGAGAATGGGGAATTTATAGGGAGGGATGGTGGGTGTGAACGGGCGGGGGTAATTTGGTAATTAAGGGTATAGCGTGGGCCAGGGGTCGCGCCTTTCTGACGCGTGTCAGAATCATAGGTAAGGCGCGACCCTGCGCCGCGCTATACCCTTAATTACCAACCTGCCCCGCGCCATACACGCGTGTATCCATGTCAGCATAAGGCGTGTCGTAGGGGGTGCGCCTTACCCCACGTGGCGCCAAATCAGCGTATAGCGCGCTACAAGGGGCGCGTCTTACTGCAAAGGGTGTTAGATCGGGAAATATAGTCTGACCGGTGTTAGATCGGTAAATATACCGATCACCAGTGATTTTTTGGGAAAAACATCAGTTTAGAGTGCAATCATATGTAGGTACATGTTGGATTATGCCAAAAAAATTCAAGAGAGCAATAAAGTGGCATTTCAGCCGTTGAATTTTCTACTATGAGATTAACATAAATTGAATCATTAAATTTAAGATAAATTATTTATTTAGACCCTCATTTAATTTTATATTTATATTTAAATTATTTTTTAATAATTTTTTAACGATAATATTGATATGATGTTATAATTTTTTATTTTTATGTCATCACCTACAAAAATAAAAGAAAAAAGAAAAAATTGATTAATCTGAAACAATTATAAGATATAATTTGTATAAAATACTCTAATTGGTTTAACAATAAATGTTAAGACATCCGTAAAGTCAATATGCTCAAATATGAAATCTCTAAAATTTACAAATATCCTTTTTAATCACACTTTAAAAAAATCAAATCACTAAACACAAAAATTGAAAATTTGTCTCTTTTCAAATAGTTGAGACTTTTATTATAATATGGGGTAAGTACAAGATAATGTTTGTTTAAAGAAAACTTTCAACCTCTAAACATTGAATGTTCATACCCCTGACATCTATGATGCTCGAACTCGAGTTCTCAAGAAATAACAATAATTCATTTACTATGGATACCCTTGGCATGATATTAAAATAATTTCGCAAAATAAATATTTAGTTACATTATATTAACACAACAAAATAAATGATTTTAGTTGATGTTGAGTTTAATTATTGGGTTAAGCTACAAATTGATTAATATTCCACCAACATTTATATTTACGTTATATAATTATTAAATTACATATTTAAATTTTTTAATTTTATATGTGAATAAAAAAATAATTATATAATAAATATATAAGTTAACAATTACATAAGTTAAATATACAACAAATATATGAGTTTGCATCTAATAGTATACACCATGATAGGCGTGTATGCAAAAGAGATATTCGGCCTCTTAAATTATATTAGTTTGATTTATGAAATTTTAAAATTAAATTCATAAAATTAATGAATTTAAATTATTTTATTTTTTATAGACGTTGTTGGTTTTATTAAAAAGATAAAATATCTAAAATTTATAATAGAGGTTTATTTATAACTATAATTGTAAATTAAACACATAATTAAACTATTTTTTTACAATCACACAAAAACTAGCCATTTAAGATCACATAAAAAAGTTAAAAACTTAATCAGAAACTCAAACAAAAAATATATACGAACATAAATAACTACATCGGTAAAAAATCACAAAAGGAGATGAAACTGTTGAAAGACTATTGACAAACCGCAAATCAAAGTCAAGCAAAGTGAAAAATAATCCGTGAACACAAATCACGTATCCAAATTCAATATGATAGTCCAAAATATGAAATATCAGTATGATAACAAATAAATGTAATTTTTATCAATCACAATTAATGTCAAAGCTAATCATGAGAATAAATAAATAAAAACACAACCAAACAAATGAAAACATACTAAAATACATATAAACAAGTGTTATAAAGGTAAAATTATTAAAAATTTAAAAAGAAATGAAGAAAAATTAAAAAAACAATAAATGTCTATAACAATCACCAACATCAAGGGGCTGAATTTCTCAAATAATGCAGTTGAAAAAAAATTGTTTGAATAGGGCACTCTCGAAATTATTTCGCGAAATAGAGTGAATGCTACAGTAAATCCGAAGACGCATTGGAGTCCAAGCGACTTATACATAAATTTGGGGGAGACGCATGGAGTGCAATTCGTCTCCCATATTTTGTCACCAATTTCATTCCTATGTAAATGTACAAAGGGTAAATTACACAATTAATCATTAACTTTATTTTCTCTCCAAATTAATTAAATACAACTGCATTGTTTTGAACAACAATTTCAATTAGAAATTATGTAAGCACGATGTTGGTTTTTTAGTACACAAATTCAATGCTAAAGCTGATGGATCAAATTAGCTTTCATATAACAACTTGAACAATGGTCGATGAGTGATCAAAATAAGAGTAAAACAAAAGTTGAGTGATTAAATTGAAAAAATTAGTGAGTGAATTTGGAGAGAGAGTAAAGTTGAATGATTAATTATGTAATTTAGCCTAAACAAATATGGGGACGCATTGCACTCCATGCATCTCCCATATTTTCAAAGGGTAAATTACATAATTAATCATTCAACTTTACTCTCTCTCCAAATTCACTCATTGTACTTTTAATTTTTTCAATTTAATCACTCAACTTTTGTACTAAAGGGTAATTTTTTCACTTTTTCATAAATGTACAAAGGGTAATTTTTTTTTGAGTCCAAGCATTGAATTTGTGTACTAAAGAAACCAACATCGTGCTTACATGATTTATAATTGAAATTGTTATCCAAAATAGTATCATTATGATAATATCTCGTGTATTTTAAATAAAAATAGTTTTATAATTAAATTAATATCAAATATATTCGTAATAACAAATTAAATTGAATATTTAGTAGATATAAAGTTTATATATATATTCACACGACTAACATAAAAATATGAATGATTAATTGTGTAATTTACCCTTTGTACATTTACATAGTGAAAAAATATGGGAGACGCATTGCACTCCATGCGTAGCATTCACTCTATTTCACGAAATAATTTCGAGAGTGCCCTATTCAAACAATTTTTTTCCAGTTGTATTATTTGATAAATTCATCCCCATCAAGGTTAATATCACATCTATCGGCAAAATATGTGGAATAATGTGTTGAATTTTTTTTTGCTCAGATGATGTAGTCGAAGGATTATTTGCCCATCTGAGGCGAATGCTACAGTTTTTCATAGGTTGCCATGTCTTCCAAATGACCTATGTTGGTCGTCATGTGCTCCGAACAAGGATTACTTAAATTTCCCTAAGTAACAAATATTACCTACATCGGTAATTAGGCTTTCACGCGATTACCGAAATTTCCCTAAGTAACAACGATTACCTACATCGATAATTAGGCTTTTTAACTACGTTGAAATGGATGTCGCCATGTATGCAGGACGACCTTATAGGTCATCATGTGATCCCGGCAACCAAACTGGCGAGATGCCTAATTACCGATATAGGTAATGAAGCAGCTCACCACAGCTCGCAGGGACGGCATGACGACCTCCTTGGTCGCTAGGAGCGCCTGACGACATATGTTCGAACTGTAGATTTCACCATATCTCAACAAATAATTTCAGTTAGACCTTATTTCAACAAATAATTTTTTTCAAAACTCTACAGCAGCAAATCAGCCCACACCTATCATTCAAAGTTTAAATATTTTAAATTTATATTAAACAATATATACGAAATCAAGTTGGTAGAATTAGTTTATTAGAGAATTTTAAAGTAATGAAATAAAATTAAATACTTTATTTTTTCAAATTAAATACTTATTTTTTTCAATATAATCTTAATTTTTGTCGATTATTTTTATTATTAATTTAAGATTTTCACTTCATTAAAAAGAATTAATAATAAATATCTAATATTCGTACAGAATAAAATATTATTTTCTAGTCAAAGCCGACCAAACACACAAAGCGGTCGGCGTCGATTCTACGTGGCACTTCCCTCGTTTCCTCGTGAAACTCGACGTCGTTTCATTTTTCATAAACTTAAAATTAGAAAACCTGTAGTGGAAGGTGGAAAGGCAAAGCGTAATTTGGCGATGAACATGTGTCCACGCCATAATCCACACCACACAGCTCTATATTTCCTTGGCCATTCCTTGCATGAATTCTAAACGCCATCAGAATTTAATTGTCTTCCTTGACCGAACCATTTATCCTCGTCTTATTGTTTACCTCCCTCATCTGTTTGTTTTCCCAAGGGGAAAGAAAGGAAAGCCCCGATAGTTGCTTTTTATTCTTTGAATCTGCCTGCAACTTGCCGGGGATGTTGATAATCGGAGAAAAATGGTTCAAGTCAAGGAATAGTATGCTTTTTCTATCATGGGTTTTTCTTTTAGTTTTCTGGGCTTGTTTTTTTTTTCATGAACTGATGGTTTTTATTTTCTCTGTGGGGACAACTTGAAGCCGAATTGTGATGCCTATGTCCTTAGAAGAGGTAAATTTTAGCTAAGAAGTTTCAAAATTGACGATTGAAATAAAGATGTTGAATTCTGGGGTTTTCTTACCTTTTTCCTGGCTTGCTTTGCAGTATCGAGTAGCTCAAACGTATATGGTGTTGAAGATGCAGCAGCAGAGTACAAATGAGGCTGAAGGCGTTGAAATCATGGAGAATAGACCTTTCGAAAATGATGTATATGGAAAAGGTCAATACACATCCAAACTATACCGTTTGCAAAGGTAATTTAAGGATGTTGAATTTTCACCTTCGTTTTTCCAATATCATATATCGTATTGTCATTAAATGATTCTTTATCATTAGCAAAATTTATATAGGTTTCTTATTCCTCTAGTTTTCCTATACATTGCTACACCGTGTTGGTAAATTACCTAAATTCATATGCATTTATGCATGCGTAACTCATGGCCTTTGATTTATCTTTTTACCATTCATTGAGATGGAATACTGGAGTTTATTGTTGTGATGTTGTCTAATCGATTTTCCCCCCACTAATTTATACAGCAAAGCACCTTCTTGGCTTACAACTATAGCACCGAAAGAGGCTCTCGTCATGCAAGAGGAATCTTGGAATGCATTCCCAAGATGTAAAACAGGTTGGCAATGTCGTTGCAGTCGGGTTTTTCTTCCCTTTTTTCCATTGCTTGACTTCGTTGTATAAGTTATATTAACATTTATCTTCTTTCTGTTGTTTACAAAATGGATATCATATTTCTCAGTGATCAAGGTAACTATTTGGTTTTCCTCAGACATATTTTCCGGACATTTCTGGCAAATGTTATGATTTCCTGTCTAAGCATGCTCATATGTCTCAAATTCATGCAGTGCCCTTATTTTACCAAGCTTTGTGTCACAATTGAAACTGTCCATCTGGAAGACAATGGCAAATCCATAAACGTAAGTTTCTTCGGAAGTCATTTTAATTAGATTTTCAGCAAGGCTCCTGTCCAACCCAGATTCTAATATTGGCATTAGTCATTTGAATGTTTTGGAAGTGCTAATTTGTGAGAAATTTTCCATGGTGTCATGTTATTCTTTCCTGTCACTTTATTTTGTTTGTACTTCCGCATAACTGTGAGGTTTACGAACAGGTGCACGGTTTAAATAAAGAACAACTGAAAGCTAGACAGGTAGAATTCATTGATATCACTTTGCCAACAACAGATTACTGGAGTTATGCAGTTGGAAGTAGCGATTTTGACTTTACTAAATTCAAATCTGAAAAAACCGGCCGTGGTCCACTTTTGGAAGGGTGGCAGGTTGGTATTTTATCTGTCGTAAGTCGATCATCTAATAAATACATGCATAGATAGATGAAGCAACTCAAGGCATCTTTCTGCTTCCGGTTCTTTCAATTAGTAGTACTTATTCAATGATATGCAAGTTTATTCCAAAGTTCTTCTCTTCAGCACTATGTATCATAGCTCTTGCTCGAATTCCAATCATTACTTCATGGAATTTGTGTTTGTCCCCACACCCAATTTCTCCTTTCTCTTCCTCCTCCTAAAGCCCCAGTCACTACCCTTGCATGGTACTCTAAATGGTATTCATGTGATCTTTGCTATAGTTGTTCGTAGACAAGATATATGACCTCGATGCGACTATGGATCTAATTGACCAAATCTTACCGGTGATATTTATATTTGCAGGACAAATGCGATACGGTAATGACAGCATATAAATTGGTTACAATAAATGTACCATATTGGGGTTTTGGTAGTAAACTTGAGCAAGCTTTGCTAGCGGAAATTTCTTAAGACTTCGATCTTTACTAATGAGCATATGCATCCATAGTCCATACACTTATCGGTCTTTTATATGCCAAGCTGGTAGCAACTTTGTATTATGTATCTTTTATGTAGGGTGAAAGAGCTCTCTTCGTGGAAAGTCACCGGAATTGTTTTGCTTGGATTGATGAATGGTTTGGGATGACAATGGAACAATTAACTGAACTTGAAGAAGAAGGTGATTGCTTACTAAATCAGGTAAGACTCCTATTTTCTGGTCACCATCGATAGAAGTGAGTCTTTTGGGATTCATGAGGGAGGAAAGGGGGCAACATGTGAAGAAGATAAACTCTTATATAAATTTCAAGTGTAACCTAAGCAACGATTGCTTCCATCAATGTGATTGCTGTGTCATTTCCACTTTATTGATTGGTTTCCTCTGCAATTAAACAGAAATTTAGCTAACCGATTTTCCTGATAGACGCCGAGAATTGCGAGTTGAGATTTCCCGATTACAACAAAACTCATTCACAGCAAGTGGTGAAGACATGATACCGTATTCTTTTTTTTTTTTGAGGCAGAAACATCAACCATATAGACACATAACTGGGGTTCTTGCATTGTAAATAAACATTGAACTTCATTGTTTACATTTTCTCAAAGTTTTAAACTAGATTTTGCAGAAATATATGTTTTATTCAATGTTCTTGTTATCATAGAAATTATACTAATTTTAATTATATTTATCAAAAACTGTAAAAACCCATTGCCTTGTTCATTTTTTATCATACATTAGTTGAAAACTCCCAAAAACTATCTCAAAAGCAGTCCACAAGCCGGACTGTTATAGCAAAAAAAAATCGTCTTTATTCGAATTTTGCCAAAAATAGCAAAAATCGTATTTATTCGAATTTTGCCAAAAATAGCAAAATCCCGAAAATCACTCTAAATTGAAATTCGAAATAAAATAAGCAATCTCCCAAAAATCCGGTCTAAATCGGATTTAAATTGACTTCCTAATTAACAATCGAAATATTACCATAAATAGTAAAAAATAACTAAATCTAGTGATTCGGAGGGGAAAACGGCAGAATTTGAGGTTGAAAAAAAGGCCACATAGAGCATAGCTCAATGTGGAGAGCGTGCGCGTCGAAAATAGCTTTCCGGATTGGGGTCTTATGCGCGATTCTGACACCTGTAGCCAAAGTTATGGCCAAAAGACTGAAACATACTCAAAACGACCCCAATAAGGAACATGTCACAATCAATTCCCGCCTTTGCGCTGATCTGCCAACTCATGGTATCTCAGCGCCATCAACGTGCAATCTGACAGCTCAGCATCATCTGTCTCGGATCTCCTGCATCACTAAGACAATGGAAACTACCCAAATACCAATATTAAAGTTTTATTACGACGAACCAGATTGTAAAAAAATAGTGAAAAAATATTGCATACCTGGATAGGGCTGAGCTTCCTCGTAGAAAACATGTCAGAAGTTTCAGGAACGCCATTAAAGCTTCTTCCAATCTTGCCACAAACTTTAGAATCCCTAATACAAGAACTAATCTTAGCTCAATACTGGTTATCCACCACGATCTTTGAGCCACCCTGAGTAGTCCCCCAAGTAACCTTTGTTCATCACGGCCGACCAGCCCCTTTATCAGTCGTGGCGTAGGCAATGAGTATGAACCCGATGAGCGCCACGATGATGAACAACATGACGAAGAGGTAAAGCCACAACAATTTGATACTAACATGTAAAATAAATGAAGGATCCAAGTAAAAACATCCCTATTTTACTACTTAATCCGATATCATCTCTAAATTTCTAATTGTTTTTTTTTTCCAACATTCATATCCCCCATCTCTGTAGTATGGATTCTTACATCTCATGAAGATAATGCTTAAAGGTTTTAGATGCCTACGTAGCTTTTTTATTATTCACAAATTCATCCGATTTTCTTTCCTTAAAATCTACACAGCATGTTAAGTTAGTGTTCTCGTTAAAATTATTTTAATTCATGAATTTAACATAACCAATGTAATTGTTAATAAGAAGATTCAATCACGTGATATAATTATAACATTTTTCATGTTCGTCTTATGTTCATTTTTCAGAAGAGAAAATAATCTCAGTGACCGAAAATGCCTTATAATATATGATTTTAACCAACTTTTTTTTGATTTGCCAAAATGACCAACAAAATCGCAACGCGAACTCTAATTTTTCAATTCAGTTTCCAAATTCGCAACGCGGTTTTGAAAAATGTGTTGCGATAATTAAAATGTGTTGTTGCGATATTGAAAAAATGTTGCGATAGTGAAAAATCCAAAATAAGTTTACATTTTAACTATTCCAAATTCACGTGGTGTTTGAAACAATAAAGAATGTGTTGCGATAGTGTAAAAGATTCCCAAGCCATTTGTAAGATCTTAGTTTGAAACAATAAAGAATATGTTGCGATAGTGTAAAAGATTCTCAAGTATTTGCAATGCTCAATCCCACATAGTATTAGAAACACTATTGGGAATGAGTATTTAAGGCTTGGATTTCCCACTTCCTTGTTGAGTGGAAGAGAACAATGGGGACTCTCGCGCACCGCCGCCGCCGCCGTCCCGTCCCGTCTCGTGATTGCGATTTTGTATTATCGCGTTGCGATAGTCAGAATCGCGTTGCGATTTACATATTCGCGTTGTGATTTTCTAAAATCGCAATGCGATAGTCAAAATCGCGTTGCAAATCTAGAAACTGATTTACGATACTGGAGATTGCGTTGCGATTTAGAGATCGTATTACGATTTTGTTGGTCATTTTGACAAATAAAAAAATTTGATCAAAATCGTATATTATAAGATATTTTCGATTACTTAGATTATTTTCTCTTTTCAGAATGTTTTCACGTATGTTTTACATAATTTTGAAGTTAAGTTGGACTATCCCACGGTCCCACCCTATTCCCTTCTACTCACACTCACCAAGAAAAGCACGACATTTTTCCAACAAAGCTTTAAACTTAATGCTGTAAAGACAAAGACAATCGTTTTCCGTTGACTGTGTGGAGTGAAAGTTCTGTTTCTGTTGTCTTTTTTCTGTTCTTTTTTAGGGTAATGATGTTACTTTTGAATCTTTGTTTCCTCTTTGAAACTGAGCAATCAAAAGGGTTCTTTTTTTTAAGTAGGTAGTAACTTTGCACCGTGCTCAATTCAGGAGCTTTGCAATGGCAGACTTTACAAAAGTAACCGAATCTCGAAAAGGTTTTCCTTTTGGTCTCTTTTTCCCTTTCGTTTCAAATAGAAAAATGAGTGATGCTTTCAGTTTCTCATGCTGCAGTAGATGTTGTTTACAAATCGATTAATATCTGACATTAGGTTTAACCAGCATTTGAAATCATTTTCTTTCTATTTTCTTACTTTTCTAGTGTCCGCGCTTCACGGCATCAATGAAGGAAGAAAGTCGGTTCGTACATGACAATAATATCCCTTTGTGGCATTTAATACAGTCAGTTAAAAAACCATGAAAAGAAGGGTACTTTAATGGAAATTTACCTGTTAACAGTAGGCCACTTGTGACCAAAATAATGTCTCATCTATGTTGAAATAATAATAATACCAAAGTCGTATGGACCATGAACCTAGGTAGGATTTGCGGTAGCATTGAATGTGGTGAAGAAAAGAGAGTTGCTGTTAATGTCCACTTGAATGAATAGTCCTTCTGGTTTGACCTTTTATTGAATATGCTATTTTACAACTGGCTTGATTTCTTTCCTTTGTCTTTTTGCTCCTATAGCTTCATTATGAAAATGTCCAATACAATCTAGTATACAATTGTTATGGAAAAAAGATGAAGAATCAAAGCAATTAGCACAGTCAAATCCTTTTCTCATTAACATCGGATTCTTCTGTCTGAGCTTGTGATCTTTTACAGACCTTGTAGGGTCAGGAATGCATCGCAGTTGTGAAGGATAAATAAACTTGTTATTTTAGCTTTGAGATATAAGTCAAAATTATGCAGGCATCAAAAGAAAGGTAACTTCTGTTTCCTGTTATGACTGTTCATTCTCTCTTATTACACAGGTTTCTTGGGGTTTTTTTATGGATCCCTTCATGTACGCGGATTTGGGTTGTCTTAGGTGCAATGCATGTAGCCTATAGGTGCAATGCTTCCTGCTAGCCTTAGGCTGTCAATGCTTATTATTTGTTGCCATATATGATCATCTGGGTTGTCTTGGATTTAACCAATGCTTGAGAGGGCACAGTGAACTCCGTCCCCCCCGGAGTTTAATTTCCACCGGTAAATAATTTATCATTTCGAGCGTTGCAGTCTCATTGTGCATGAGAGTAGATATGTTGTTTTTTTTCTACATTAAGATAGGATAAGCTGAGCCCCTTATTGGGACTATCAGATGCTGTGACAGAGGCTCATTCATCCTTCCCTAACAAAACTTTAATCTGTCTGAGACCACTGTCGATTTATTGCTTTGGTTTCGTGTATTCTCGATAATTTGCTTATTTCGTGAGGAACATGTTCGGGTATAACTTAAAGCTTCTATATCAAACTATTGAGTAACCAATGTTTAACAGAAGCGGATCCTCAGAAGTGCCGCAAAGGGTCTCTCCTCGAGCTGTTCGTCAACTCAAGCCAACCAAAGCTTTTGAGCGCTATTCACCAAGAAGACTAGTCTCTGAGGTATATTAAAGGAAACAACATTTCTTTCTGATGCAGATGCACTAGCCTCTATGCATTGTTTTTGAATTAGAAATTCGAGTTTACATTTGATCCTATACGAACCAAACATCTAATCTTATCTGCTTTTCTTGCACCAGAAGAAGCTCCCCGGCAGAATATCAGAATTGGAGTTGCAAAATTCACAGCTTCAAGAAGAACTAAAGAAGGTGAAGGATCAGTTAAATTCATCCGAATCATGCAACAAGGAAGCTCTGCAAGATGCCGAGGAGTTCAGGAAGCAAATGTTGGCCATGTCTGCAAAGGTTGAAATTTGTCGAAAGCCGCTACTTGAGCCTGCTTCTGAGAGGCCTCTTATTGTTGAACTCGACACGGTATCACAAGGGGGGGATCGAGCCTGGCTGTCAGAGCTTGAAGCTATCCGAAAGCAGCAGTCTGTTTACATAGATGTGAATGAGATTCAGCAACTTAAGGATCATCTTGAAATGGTGGCTGAATCTGAGACTAAACAAACCAAGCAAGCAGATTCAGCACATTTGGATCTCGAGAACTTGAAAGGAAACCTGGTTGACACTCTTTCTCTTGTATCGAACATGAAAAACCGGCTAAAGGACGGCCGAGAATCGGAAGCTCCAGCTGAAGTATTGGCCAGTGAAACTCTTTTACAACTAGAAGCTGCGAGAAAGACTGTGGAGGCGCTTAGATCGGAAGGCGTGAAGGCCGTTGAAGCTTACAATTCCATTGCTTCAGACTTACATCAATCCAAGGAACGTGTTTATTCACTGCAAGGTCCTTTGAACAAACTTAAGGCAGACCTGACTGATGCTGGGGGCAACAATTCCCTAGATTCAGATGGTGATCATATCGTAGTTGAGCACCAAACCCGAGAAGATGAGAAACATGAGGAATCTCATCAGCTTGAAGCAGAGATTTCTTCTTTAAGATCTGCTCTTGAAACTTCTGAGATTAAACGCCATGAAGAACAAATCCAAAGCATTATACAGATAAAGAGTGCCAATGAACAGATGGACCGGATAAAATCAGAAGCAAACTCGAGAGAGGCTGAGTTGTTAGCTAAACTTCAGAAAGCAAACCTTTATATTACTACTTTGAAGGCAAATTTGATGGCTAAGGAGACCGAATTGCAGGGTATTTCGGACCAAAATGAAGAGCTACACATGAAGCTTGAGAAAAGCCCGTCATGTCAACTAGAACCGGAACAAAATGAGCTCAAGGCATTGAAGGAAGCTGTTGATGACCTGAAGGCAAATATGATGGATAAGGAGACAGAACTTCAATATATGGAAGAAGAGAATGAGATGCTCCGGTCGGAAATCCGTAAACGAGACATGAACATAAGCAAAACAAACGATAAGGTGGCTGTTGAGCTAGAGTTGGCAAGGGCTGCTAAGCTAGAAGCTACTACGAAGCTTGAACTTGCAATGGAGGAGGCAGATAAGAATAGCAGGAGAGCAACCAGGGTGACCGAACAGCTTGAGGCCATGCAGGCAGACAATTCGGCAATGGCGGTCGAGTTGAGAAGATTGAAGGTGCAATCAGAGCAGTGGCGCAAGGCTGCAGAATTAGCCGCAGCAATGCTTACGGCAAGTAATAATGGGAAGAAGTTCATTGAAAGAACCGGTTCACTGGATAGCAACCATTATTCAAAGATTGGCTCCCCTTTTACTGAAGATATGGATGATGATTTTCTGAAGAAGAAAAATGCCAACATGCTGAAGAAGATTGGGGTCTTATGGAAGAAACAACAGAAATAAAACACCTATGTGTGTGTGTGTTTCCAAAATTGTATGGAATCTATGTTTTCTCTGTTTTGCCCTATTTTTCTGTGGGTGTCATCACTTTGTGCTTACAGTTGAGAATGCAATTTGTGGCGATGTTGAATTCCGATTCCATTATTGCTTCAACTAAGCTTCTTGCTTAATATTGGCCATCATTTAATCAGCTGCCGAGTTCTGATATGAAAGTAGCTGCAATTGTTACCTGAATGCACTTCATTGGAGAAAATGCAAAGGTCTAAATTAAATTTAATTCATTTAAAAGAAAATGTTATTATTATCATTATCTTGCATTCTAGGTTTTAACTAGTATTGCAATTCATCATCCTTGTATTGTAGCATTAGGCCATGCTTATCATCGTGTTTGCATGTTAGTCCTGAAATCTTGCATCAGTCCTTTCAATTTCAGCATACTGCTTTGCGAATCCTATGTTGAAGACCGTTGGATTCTACTGAAAATGAAATCTAAAGACAATTGATGACCTAAGGGTCCCTTTACCTCTACTATTTTCCCCCCTGCCACTCCAGGATCTAACCTTGAGGACTCCAAATTTGTTATATTGCAAGAAAAGTAGAATGAAAAGTTATATTATAAGGTTCCCCTGTGTGTGCTGTGTAGAGCTGAGTCAAAGTCAAGAAAACTCCCGTGCGCATTCTCGGCTGCTGTTTAGACGGCTGTGCCTGCTTGCTCTGTGTGGTATTAAGCCTGGAGTGTTTGAAATCGGTTTTTCGAAACCATTTGGCTTTATTAAACGTTCGAATTGGATTGGGAAGCCGTTTGGTTCCAAAGGGCTTAGCAACAAGGGTTGGAATCCATTCTCTTCCACCACGATACGCCGAAGCTCTCGTTTCACAAACGAGGAGACATTCTAAAGTATCAAGAATTTACCACTCAGCAACATTGACAAGCTGTCAATATCAAATGTTCCAGATGGGTCAAAAAGGTCGGGATTAAGTAATAACCTTTTTTTTTCACTCTTTCTGATCGAATGCTATACTCTGATTGTCATCTGGAATTCATCAGTTACAAAATGGGAAAAGATTGGAGTCTGGGCTGAATTTATACATACCATGCCTTCCCTGTTACATCAGTGATGTAATTCTGGTAGTGACGCCATATTTAGCTTTAACGTTTGCAGTACTCGGATTGGATGTCTCGCAACAGCTCAGAAGGCTATCTTTGAGATTATCAATCATCTTTAATTTTGTTCTCATTAAAGTTGCAGGCTAAGATGATTTTCATGGGTTTTGTTTTTTTGAAAACCCAGTAGCAGAAACTAATCAGATCTTGATTACAATAACAAAATGGAGAAGAAAGAAGCTCACATGCGAATGTGTTCAATGGGACTCTTAACTTTGCTGTATTTTGAAGAAAAGAGGTGATTGACGACAGGGAAAAAGGCTTTTGGAGTAAGATAACGGTCTCATCGTACAACCAACAAGCCGCCTTGGGTTGGTGATACGAAGAGGGTGGTTCCCGTGAATATAATAAAGGGCGTGCAGTGTTTAAAATTTGAAAATTAAAAAACTTTTAGGATAAATTAGACATAAAATCATTGTTCAATGGTCATTTGTGTAGTTTACCCTTTTAAATTATATATATTCATTGGGTCACATTAACAATTCGGTAAATGTGTAACGACGGTTAACCCTCAATTACAATATCATAATTTTTTTTAAAAATGAAAGTGATTAAATATTATGTTTTTTGAATTTAGTTAGGAAATGTGTACAAAACTTAGATGAAAATGATCAAACATGTAGTTTACCCTAAAATATTATACATATGCATAATAGCTTTTAAATAAAAAATTATTCTTTTAGTTAGGATTGTAAATTTGACGAGACATATCATGAGTTACTAGAAATCGATTTGATCAAAATTTGGATAACTCTTGAATCAAATAGACTCTACTCAAATTCGTCATAAGCTAAAGCGAGTTACTTGATATCCGACTAGACAAAGCTCGTGAGTAACTTAAAAAATATATTATATTATTTTTTATTATAAAATTAAATTATTATCAATATTAACATTTATAAGTTGTTTATAATTTTCATGTACTTAAGGTTTAGTTTTGAGTTCGAATATGAATTTCAATTGAGTTAAATTGAGAATATTTCAATTTTTGAGTTCAAAATTTTTTAGGTCGAATTAAATTTTAATTTTTTATTTAGAGTCGAGCATAAAAATTATAAGCTTGCAAAATTTTTAATCCAGGTTCAAATTTTTATTTAGAATTTAAATCAAAGTTAATAATATTAAACTCGTTAGTGTCAAATCAAATCAAACTTAATTTTACAATTTTCAAATCAAATAACTTGACTCGTTGACATAGCTGCTCTCTGGACAAGATAATACATATATGACATGTAGAGCAGACAAAGGCCGCAAAGAAACTGACAGACAAATCCATCAGATAGAAGAATCAAGTGTACCTCATGAGCTTGAAACAAAGCAGCCACAGTCGAAGGTGGGGTTGGGTTCTCTGGTCCAGCTCCTGCGGGCAGCCGCCCACACCCATTTTGAACTGAAAGCTGCATGCCATTGCTAACCCCAGCGCCCAGGGACCGACTTCCTCGACATACACCATCACAAAAATCAATTTCTTCCAATTCCACTATCTAGGCTTTATTTCCTCTATATTAAATTTAAAAATTTTGATTTGATTTGATTTCAACTTATAAATATTTTTATGATTACACCACGCAGGCAGGATGTAACCATGTGCCCCGATGGAATTCTTGACCTTGACCACTAACCATTGATCAAAGGTTTTAAGATTAGGGATGGGTATAGACTCGATTTTAACGGGTTTCGACCGACTTAACCTGATTAGGTAGGATTTTTTTAAAAAAAAATTTGGGTTCGAGTCGGATCGGTTTTTTTAAATGTGATGATCGGGTTGGGTCGGATTTAGTGTGAATAATATCCGACCTGACCCGAAAAAAAATATAATTTTATCTTATATATTTAGGAATAATTATATATATTATTTTTTCAATTAAGTCATTGTTTCATTGAATAAAAATAATTTTTTTTATTATTTTAGGTTGATCGGTTTTTAAGTTATATATAGGGTCGGATGAAAACCTGTTTTGGTCGGATTGGGTCTCGAGTGGAAGACTCCTTGTTCTCGGGTCTAGTCGAGTGAATCAAAAATCCGACCCAACCTGACACATGCACATCTCTATTCAAGATTGATTGTGGTCCACCCTAGGGGTGTTCAGATCTAATCCGATCCAAAAATAATAATCAAAAATCGATCCAAAAAATCGATAACCGAAAATAACCGAAACTGATTTAGTGTGTTTGGTTTTTTTTACGAACCGATCGGTTCGGTTTCGAATTGGAAATCATGAACCGATCCAAACCGAACCGAACCGATGAAATAAAATATTGAATTTACAAGCTTGAAACAAACCCATCAAAAACCTAACAAAATCTCGCAAATCCCATATTCATATACAGATTCAGCTTTCCTCGACACACGCGTAACAATTTTATTTTAGATTCTAGTCATAGATTCCAATGAAAAAAACAGTGCAATAAATGATAATAACAAAGAATGATAGTATAGTCTTTTGGTATTTCCTCAGTTCTGAGGTAGAGAGAAAATTATCGGGTAAAACTTAGAAAATGTGTCGTTTTACTTTTATAGATAACTTACTGACGAGAAATTGATTCGTTTCTTAATTTGTTAAAATATATATTATCTTTGTAAGCTTCACAAGCGTACATTTGTTAAAATATATATTTTCTTTGTTTTTGTGATACATATGCTATTTTTTTAATAAAAAATTAATAATTATTTTGAAAAATTAGAATTCAAAAACCGCAAAAATTCAAACTAAATTAAGCCGCACTTAATTGGATCGGATCGGATCAGATTTTTTTTAAAAACATCCAAACCGATCCAAACCGCAAATATTTATACTTTCAGATTAAATGAATTTTTAACTAAAAACTGATCCAAACTAACCGCGAACACCACTGGTCTATCCCGTCTTTTATTATTTTTCGTTAATAGATCAACGTTGTTACTTGGGATTGAAGAAACTCCGGTGGCGGTGGTGAATATATTCACAGAGGCTTCATTTATAATGTCGTAAAAAGTTTTTTTTTTCATTGTATCTATAAGCTAGGTTTATTTCATTATTTGCTTTGGCATTCCGTGTTAATAATTACCTGAGCCCGCCACGTGTCTGGTCTAATTACAATATAGGATTCTGTCATTTTGGACCGCACTCGTGACTTGCCTCACACACCAATCTCCCGTCTTATTATTGTTCATATTTTAATGATTTTTATCGTTTTTTACTGCAACTAACTTGTTGGTATTTTCTAAAATATTTAATGTTTTTGATTTATAAATGATAAAATATTTGAATAATACAATTATTATTAAATTACTCAAAAAAATATTTTCACCTATAAAAAATACATAGTGATAAATTTTAGGTAGTAGAAAATGATAAGAACGATTATTATTTTTAAATATCAATAATTATTCAGTGATTAAATTATTTTTATAATATTTATAATACGAAATTTGATTTATATTATTTTTAGTAATTTTCTCACATTCTCCTCTGTAAAAAGAAAAAGAAAGGATTTGTTAATTACAGAAGATGATTTTCATGTTAGCCGTGGAGATTCTATGGATCGGGAAAACTGATTTTGTAGATTCTTAACTTGGCCAATATGCTACCATTCTCCACCTTTGTCTTTGCGGCACAATTTTCCATTATACCTTTCACTTTTTCTTTTTTTAAATTACTATTATCACTATGACTATAATAATTATTAAAATGTATTAATTTGACTGTTATAAAATTGACCAGTCAATTAACCTGATTCATCTTTCCCTATTGTAATATATATATATTAAATAAAAAATATTGTACCTTTATTTTTTAAGTATAATTAAATAAAAATTCTTTAAAATATTTTTAATGAGATTCTTCTTCATAAATATCGAGGCGTAGCCATGTATTATCCTTCTATTTTGGATCAGATTTTGATAATTATTTTAAAACTTTTTCTTATTCAACTCTTTATATATTTATTAATTTAATACATACATACATATATATATATATATATATATATCCATGTGAGAATATGTTAAACATTGACTTGAACAAATGATAAAAACCTTCAAACTATTTAACTTGGTTCCATGGAAGATAAATGAAACAAATATCAACCAACTACAAATATATACAGAGAGAGATTAATTGTATAGAGACGAATTGATTTAGAAAAATTAAAATTTAGATCTTAAAAATTTTAAATTATAATATTATGAATAAGAAAAATTATATTGATATAATCACTTTATAAACTCATAATAGATCATTACTATACTATATCTGATTCAAATAATTAAATAAAAAATGTAATTATTTTGGATTTTAATCTTGATACATCCATTATAATTAGTTGTAGATTGTTTTGAGAGTGAGGAGCCTTGAGTCGGACAGGCCCTACTGCATTGTCGAATCCACGCGACAAAGGGTCCCACAAGGACAGACCCCAAAGGGCCTTGGAGACATGGACTATTTAGATAGGTTTTTCCCTCTCCCTTTAAGTCTGATGTCTCTGAATACCTGAATATATATAATATTAAAAAACAATAAAAATAATAATATATCCCACATTGAAGACAATCATATCATCATCTTGTACGGAAAAATCAGAATGACTGTTCTGTGACATAGATTAAAAAAAGACCAATTAACCGATCATTTCTTTACTCTCTCTCTCTCATCGGGAGGTGTAGTTGAGGGGCTAGCTTTCGCTTTATATACGTATATATTATTTATTCACCTTTGATTTCAGTTGTTACCAAACACAAAACTCATTCTCTTCTTCTCTTTTCTTTCACACCACTGCTATTTGTTCTCTTCTTGTTAAACAAACCCCGCAGTTGAAACTCTGTTACCTGTGTTGGGTATTTTGCTTTCTTTTCTGGGTTGAATAAATGGATTCTTCAACCAGACAACACCAGGTATTATATATTGTGATTTATGTTAAACCAGCATTTTATTTCTTGTAATAATTTGGTCTAATATATTCTACTAATGTTTTTTTAGGAGATGGGTAACTCTTCACTTGAAAACTTGTCGGTTAACTCAAACGGACAACAAGAGAGAAAGACAAGACCACAACATGAAGAAGCACTCAAGTGCCCACGATGTGAATCCACCAACACCAAATTCTGCTATTACAACAGGTACAGCCTTTCTCAGCCAAGGTATTTCTGCAAGTCATGCAGGAGGTACTGGACCAAAGGAGGCACATTGAGAAATGTTCCAATGGGAGGTGGGTGCAGGAAGAACAAAAGATCAACATCAAAGAGAAGCCAAGATCAACCATTAACACCTACCAACAGCCCACTCATCACAACCACCCACCTCCCACAACCACCCACCTCCCACCTTTGAATTATGACACGAATGACCTAAGCCTTGCCTTTGCTAGGCTACAAAAACAACCTAGTTTCCCATTAGGGTTTGATGATCTCGGAAACCCTAGCATTAACAGCAATCCCACCATTGTTGATGCACTCAGAAGCAGATTCCTTGGAAACCAGAACGACTTCCACAACTTCTACTATGGGGTTGGTTATGAAAACATGGGGTTTAACGGGGAACTTACGGTACCGTACAATAACAATGAAATGAGTACCGCAAGCACAGTTACACCAATGAAGCAGGAGCTTTCCATGGCTGACTTTGATTCTGAAAAAGAAATCTGGAACGGGTTCAATTCATCTTGGCATGGACTGCTTAATAGTCCTCTAATGTAGTTAAAAAGAATGGAGTTTTCTGTTCTGTTTTTAATGTTTGAAACTGAAAGCAGCATATTTCACTAGTTTTTTCCCCATGTTGCTTTTCATTATTAGTATGGCCAATTTCATTCTACTATTGGTTGATAAACTAATGATGTTTCGGATTCGTTTGCTAACCAATTAAGGGAATTTGCAGACCATATTAGATAAAAATAATGAAAGAGGGAGAGATGTTTCATTCGTGGTTTCTGTCAGGCATGAACTGTATGAAAAATACATTGAAGTTTGCATGCTGGTTCTTTGGGTTTTGAATCAGTTGATGTTTTCTAGATATTCCGTCATCATAGCTTCTTATTACTTTCATTTTCCGGTAGATTCTATGAATAAAACAAAAGATTAATATATTCACATTGTCAGTAAAAGTAAATATATAATTTAATATTAGATTATGATCTCCTCTCCTAAGCGTTAAGATTTCAGCGAGACAGCGAAAAGCACTAATCACGGACAAAATCTTACTTGAGATACGGTCGATCGCAGACATTGTACTAAAATAATATTTGTTTGAGGACTTCGATCACAGTTGGATTAGGGTTGTATAGCTCACCATCACACTATATACATATGATTTTTTTAAATAATGCCTTAATTACATCTTTAAGATTATTGTAATAATAATCTTAAATATTGTCGTTACTACTTTCATTGCTATGGACCTAAAGTCTGATCCTTGATATCTTTCCTAACTTTCCTTCACTTTTTCTCTATCCTATCTCTTTAATATTATGTTGTATGTGTGAATTTATTAAATTATTTTATTTAATATTTATTTTATATAAACTGTAATCTTATTTATATATTTTATAATATAAATTTATCGGTATTATAACTAATAATTAATCGATTATCTTATTGATATACTAATATCTAAAATGATAATTTTATTTTATAAATCTTTATAATCATTTATAATAAAATATTATATAAAATTATACTTATACTTGATAAGGAAGTCTGATAATGTATAAATACAAATTTAAATTTTATAACGTACGAACTCTACTGGTTAGTATTTGTTTTTGTTTTAACTAATTTTATTTGGTAAAGTGAAGAAGGATTTTACTTTTAATGAAATGGTCAATATTTATTATTAAATATATATGTGGTGCAATTTTTTTATATATTTTATAGATAGAATAAAAAGAATGTCATATTATTAACTTATATTTAAAAGTAAAAAGAATAAAATACAAAACAATTTCTTTTCATTTTTAAATTGTTTCCCGTTAATTTATAAAAAAAATCCATTTATATATCCTATCTGACATCCTAGTACGAGTACAGACACTGCAAATTTTTTCTGTATACTTCCTATGAAATTGAGTCGTACCAAATCCATATTTTGGATTTAATTAATATAATAATATAATAAAATAAGGAACTTAATTTATTGTCGCTCACCTAGATCAGAATAGGAGTTTATGTTCGTTGATTATCCATTTAAAGCAGCAGTTTCGACAATATTTTATGCTCTCGTTCTTCGACAAGAGATGGGGAGAAGGGCAATTAGCAAATTGGCAAATCAATTTCAAATGACAGTAAATTTTAAATGCCTCAACAGCAAAATCCTCAAATTTTAGTCTGTTGTTGCAGTATCCTCGGTTGCGGTGTCACTCTCCAATTTATCACCCGATTCCTCTGGTTTGCTTTCAGTACTACTTTCAACATTCTCAAGCTTTGAGACACGAAACATAGCCAAATGAGTATCCCCTCCACCAAAAGAAAATCATTTTGTTGAGGGATGTCAAGAGTTGAGTAAACTCCATTTATTTACTGTTTTGGGTTGGCTAAAGGAATCAATTTCCTCGTTCTGATATTGGTTACCAGACAATGATTCGATACGAGTTTATATTTACTATGGATAAGTTTTTTTATCGATTGAAATCGAGGTCGGTGTATTTACCGAATATAAGAAAACTTCCCGGTGGCAACTTGGAAACAACTCCCGGTCTTAGCCTCTGGTCATTCATGAAGGACCCGTTGGTACTGTCCAAGTCTGTCACCAGAAGATTCCCTCCTTTCTTCTGAATCCGAGCATGAACTGCGGATACTGTAACATATATATGCACTGTTAATGATCGAATCAGATGCTCTTTACTACCAGGAAACATTTTTGTATCTAAGTTTGTGACTAATGCAAGGCAGAATTTTATATTAAGAGACTAATTTTTAAAATTTTAGAGATGATTTTATAAAATTATAGGCGAGAAAATAGATTATTAATTAAAAATATAAAAAAAATATCTAAAATGTATGATAATTTAAAATTTTAACGAGAGGCTCGGTCATCCTGACTACTATACCTGTTGCAACCGGAAACACCACATCTGCCTTATCAGGGAGACGGCCGACAGTGACTTCACTCTACAAAATGGCCCAAATACAATCCATCCATGATGTTATTTTCAGTGCAAAGATAGAACAAATGACAAAGGAAACAGTATTATTTTACTTACAGAAGCAATCTCAAAGGCATCTGGCATTTGGACCTTAAATCCAATGTGTCTCCAATCTCCATCACCTGTTTCATCAAAATGTTTGTGATTTCTGAAACAAAGCATTTGAGGTTCAGAAACAGAAGATTTCGATGCAACAAAACACTGACCTGCAGGTTCAAGAAGCCATCTATCAGCGACATCTGTAACGGTATTACTTTCAGTTTCAGAAGCATAAGTAACCCCAAGATTCCTTTGTTTCTTTAACCTGATTCTATCGAATTTTAGCTGAGCTCTGTAATTCTTGGAGGACTGAAATGGGATTACCAAATATGATGCAGAAAGAATGGCTTTTGAATGAAGGAAGGAAGGAAAGAAGCTAGGGAGCTTTGCAGGAGACAAAGATTGTGCAGTCATCTCCATCTCAGCAACAGGATTGCTATGGAGTTATCGAATTCTATATCTAATTTTCTATTCCAAGTTCCAGTTGTTCTTTTGGATTGTGTGGGTAGCAGGAGCAAAAGGTGTTTTCGTTAAACATGTAATATAATTACGTGGCATCCATTTAATGCCTTGACGAAGAGATATGGATAATAAACTCTTATTTATTTATTTTTTATTATTTTTGGGTAAACTAAATGAGAAGCTCTTTTGTTTGTGTTTCTTCTTATTTTAATTATTAAATTTAAAAAAATAATATCCACATCATTTAACTTATCAATTATTATAATTTAATCATCGAATCTAATTCATGTTATAATAATGACCCTACTATATTCACTGTCAACGCCGTCTATTCCGCCGGTCTTACCAACCACATTTACCTCAAGTTGGCATACTTGTTCACGAGTTTCAAGGATCGCCAAATCAGGGAGAAGCTCTTGAGCGTAGGTATCAGGGATAATGTCATCGGGGAGCCAGGCTCCGCCACTTTTGGGGACGTTGTCAACTTCCTCACATACCTCAAGTCTCTATCGGAGTTACCTCGCCTTCAGAGAGAACAGATGCAGAAAGCTAAGTTGACTAGAAAGGGCGGGAATCAGGCCGTTGTACAGATTTTTCAGCAGCAGATGAATGATTTCGTCGCTGCTAAGAGGGCCCTGCAAATGAAGCACGGAACTGAGATTGCCCAGATTCGCGCTCAATTAGCCCGTGCCGAGCGCGATATGGAGACTGCGCTGTCTGTCCTGCTCGATGAGTTTCATCCGGTGTCGTTATTCCATAAGCTGAGTGAAGAGACGTTTAAACAAAAGTGCTACACCATGTATGAATTGGAGGAGCAGACGATTCGTGGCGAGGCGGTCTTGCCAAGAGGTGATGCTGGGTACGCAGAGGCATGTACTCTTTATGGTGATAAGGTAAAGGATGCCTGGATGGAAAACTTCGCCAATTCGAATGGGAACAAGGAACAGCTGGTGGAGTACATGAGGGAGAAGATTCTCCGGCTGGAAAGGGATGGCCAGTTGAAGGCTGGTCTGAAATTTCGGAGCATCCTTGGTATAGCAGGTGGAGACGAGGCTCTGCCAGATGTTGCTCCTACTGCGGTAGGCCAACAAGAAAATGGGTGGCAAACGATGGAACTGGGAAAAAAAAAGTTTACCGTAAACGAGTTGCAACTGAACAGCTTGAGAAGTGACCTCAAGCAACCATATCGACCACAAAATTTGCATGAAATAGTACTAACTTCTTAGTAAATTAACTAAAATATGGAATTGAAGCATGCTTAATATCATATGATGCTAAGTGACATCTGATGAGGCTTTTGCATACATATGTTATATTAGTCATTTTATCTGTATTGACATATAATTCTGCAGACTAGCATTCTTTCTCTTGTATTGCAGTTTTGTTGCCCTCAAAATGGATCAGATATGGCCTGTTCATCATCGTTCACATCTATCTTTATTCTGAATTCGTGAAATATGCATTGCATTTTTTTTGTGAGAAAGCTCACAGAATTCTAGTTAACTTCTTTTATTTGCTCGTCTCATGAGAAATGTTTGTCTGCTGAAATATGATGTATATAATAAAAGGTTTTTATATTATATTATTGATGTTTTATATTAATTTTATTAAATAAGTGAATATGATATTTAGTTGTATAACTTATACATGTAGCATGAATAAAATAAAAAAGTGTAGCAATTAACACATACTTACATTAGTGTAAGTATGTACATCTCACAATATTTTTATACCTAAAAATAAACATATAATTATATTGGTGTTAGTATGTTTCTGTATTTTCAAATAAATAAAAATTAAAAATAATATATATATATATATATATATATATATATATATATATATATATAAACTAAGTTATTTGTACACAAATTTTATTAAAAATATTTAAATTAAAAATAATAAAAAATTATATTTTCAATAAACTTTCATGTAAATATTTTAATTTTAATATTGAGAATTGAACTTGTTAAAAAAGAAAATATATCTCAATGACAATTTAATAAAACATATATATATTTTTATCTATATGAAATATTATATTTCAGTCAAACAAAATAATATAATATTCCTAGTAATGTAACATTCTTAGGCTGATAAGTTTTAAATAATATTTCTACTTTTTGTATTAAAAAATAATATAACATTTCAGTAATCTCATTTCTAACTGTAATCTTACATTCCGTAAATCAAACAATCCCTAATTAATACATAAAGCCTAAAGAAAATAAAATAAAGAGGAAAAAAATCACAAAACACTTTCTAACAAACTCCATTTATATAAGAAGGATAATATTTTATTAGGAAATATGAATATTAATTAAAAAATATTCTAAAATAACTAAAACTATTTGTATCTATCCAAACGTGCCTCGGAGAAGCTTAAATAAAATATATCAAAAGTAATATTGCCAATTTTTGTTGCCTAAGCTAAGAAGTTGGACTTGGGCCCAAGCTAATTTTGAGAACTAAGGAAGGCCTTCATTTGAATTCTCCGATTACTATAGTTCGACTTTGTCTATATCGAAATTTATAGTGGAGTCACGTTGATCATCTTCTATGTGACGACCAAGTTCGGATACTACTTGTTGAAAGCGTAAGCGATTACTCGATAAATTTTATAACACACGATATTATTATAAAATCATTGAAAGCAGACATATTCAACCTGTAACAACTGAATCAAGAGCCGGAAATGATGGGGTTGGTGTCAAATTGACTCCTAGAACTGTTGCATTTGAGACAACTGGAGGTTAGCCTTTTCTTCCGGTAATATTTTTAAATCGTGCTTTTAAAACTAAACTAGTATCAGGCTCTCAGCATATTGTTAACACGCTACTTATTCTTCATTTTTTTCTCCATTTTGCACTTTTTTTTTACCCCCAAGGACCAACACCTGATGCTGATGCAGTTCTCCAAGTTGAGGACACTGAACAAGTTAAAGCTCCTGTTGAAACTAAGCGTGCAAGGATATTGGTGCAAACTAGTAAAGGCGTTGATATTACTCCAGTGGTATGATATCATGAACTCCATCTATCCACCCTCTTTCCTCTCTCCTTCACTGTCTCATCGTTCCTAATTTTCTTTTTTCTGCTCCAAATCATCCCCGACGTTATGATAAATTTTCACTGTCCTGTTACTTTCTCAAATTGCTTGTCGGTTGTTTAATAACTGAGTCAAAGATCTAGAAGATTGAAATAATATGTTGAGAGTTCACTGTCAATATTCCGTCACGGACCTCTGGAAGTAATTAATAGGTAAGTTTATGGTCAAACAGCCGAAGGTATCAGTCGGAGAAGTGTACCTTATTTGAGCACTCTTAACGTGTGAATACAGGTAAGGTGGTTCATGAATTCCAGATATGTCCTACTTAGGTTTGTGGTTTTGGTCCAAAGGTCTCAACATGAGTGAGTTTATGTGGTTCCCTGTGCAGTCAGAAATGGTTAATGGTTACTTTTGTTTTTGTAACAATTTGTGCCTTAATATTTAAATTTAGACCCTATTTTGACATGCAGTCATCCCTTGTAAAACTTAATGGCCTATAGCTTGTTGGAGAAAAGGAATGAAGTTGAGTTTTCGTGCCTTCTCACCTTCTATATAAGTTGACGTGACTTTGTATATCCATGGCAAATAGAAAAATAGAGAACAAGCAGCACACAATGAATGTGTACCTTATCTGAAATAACTTCACATTTCCATGCTTTCTGTTATTCAAAAGTTCAAGCAAGCATCTGTTTTGCAGGGATGTGACATTCAGAAAGATGCAGTAGTTTTAAAATCTGGAGAGAAAATAGGTGCTTCAAAGTGGGACTACTTGCTACGGTGGGCGTTACGAATTCTAATTGTGTTAAGAGGCAATTTGTTTCTTTTGGTTTTTTTTTCCTAGCTCCGCGGCTCCGCCCTTGCATGACTGCTCATCAATTGATTCTTCAACATCTAATCCTTCTCACCCTGCAATCCCTGAAGGCTGAAGAGTGAGCCTGCAACTTTTTTTAAAAAAGAAGCAATGCAATACATCATCTTGTTCTAGTTTTTCAGAATGATCACTTTATGGATGCTAAAGTGATAAAGCAGAGTTGATGTTCCACTTCATTCCAGTTGGATAAGAAATGGGTGAAAGCTTTGTTACGTTATAGAGCCAATTGTTTGTCTGGTTTTGATCATGTACATACCTGGCTATGTTTATCCACAATGGCCTTGGAAAGGAATGGATTCATTAGGCTCTCAGTTTAAACGCATCTAGATACACCTTTGAATAATTGTTTCTTGAAGGTCACACATTTGATGCTAAAACAAATGAGCAAAGCTGACGTTTTCCTATGACAAAGTGAGACATGGGAATGTTGAATGCTTTGCTACAACATTTGGAAACAGCAATAGTATGACAAAGTGAGACATGGGAATGTTTTGCATTAGGCTTTCCGTGAATGTTTTATCTGTTTCTCTCAGATCTGAAACCTTATTGAAGATAGATTGATGACAAGTTGTCTGCATCGAAAGTCTAATGAATATGTAACTAACTGATGCCTAACAATTGTTTCAAGTTACTTGCATGATAGATTGATGACAAGTTGCAGAGATGAAGTGATACTGATCAAATGGATCTTATCCTTATACTTGGTGAGTTCTTCTATCCTTGCTGGGTAGAGGTTCCCCTTTTCGTTGTATTTATTTTCACTCCTTTCTTAAAATTATATCTCGGCTTCATTAAGGTGGCGCTGGCTTCACCCTGAGAGAGGAGATATTGCAGATTGTCTTTGCCATTGTTTGCTGCTTGTCAAATCTTTGGCGTCTGGGGTTATGTGTTTGAACAAATTAACCATGAAAAGCCATTATGCTCTAAGTTGCCGATTTTTAACCCCCATTTTATTCAGAACATTCTTGATTTCATCAAATTTTCATATGCAAGAAGCATATGACTGCACACATCTATGATAATTCTTTTCTACATACATACATTACATGTGATGTTCCAACATTTCGTTTATAGTTATGATAATGAAGCACTTCCAATCTATTTTCCTAATGGA